CTAAACCTAACCTAACCTAAATCTAACCTAACCTAAACCAAGCGTAGTACAACCTATTATCGTGCGAGATATCCTGGAGATAACAATGGGAATCATTCTTTTAAAATACATTTCGATCAAATATATCAGTAGAATTATTAAGAGAAATTTCATCACCGTCAGTGGTTAAAATTTCAAAAAGACAACGCTAGTCGTTACTTTTACATTACAATGTTCCTTCCCACTTTAGCGTTGTTACTTTCACCGGTGCAGGCGTCTGTGATTATGAGCTTTTCAAATAAAACACAACGCTGCCATAATCTGCGCGCGTTGTCTCGTTGGTTCAGATGATTAAGTCTTGCGAAAGTGTATAACACGCAGGGATAAATAAATTCCTTGTTTCATGTATCTTTCTTTCTTTTCTTTTTCTTTTTTTTTTTTTTTTCAAGGGTAAAATTCGTTCGACACATTTCAACGACCTTGAGATGAACGTTAGATTGAATAAGAGATTACTGTTTGTCGCGTGCCTGTTGAATAACTTAAGGAGCAATAAAATTATGTAAACGGAATATCTCATTTGGGAATTGATCTACGGGAGACTAACTGTATGCGTAATTAATGAACATATTAGAAATCATTAATGAGGACGATGTAAAAGAGAAACTACGATTGTGCGTCACACAGCTAGATTACTTAATTTTTAGACATTTAAGCACAGAAAAAAAAGAAAAAAATTTGAATTAAATACCCTGGCCTAAATTATAATCGATCGTCTACCAAAAGTCGCAAGAAGTTCGAATTCCAAATTTCTATTATATCCGATATTCTCCTTCCCTTAGAAATTCAATTCGTTTTAGCATCTGGAGCAACTGTTTCCCACTTGACTGATTAAATGAGGAAATTTCGATGTGGCGGATTCCCAGGCGCTCATCAATGATCACAGAATACGTGAAAGGAAAAATGATCCAGCCCAGGGGCCTTCCGGCAGAGAAACCGGCGTGGATGTGAAACTGACGGGCGTCCCGAAACCGATCGAATCATTCGAAGGGAAGAAATTTGCGTGAAACACGAGGTGACACCGGTCGGTCTTCTTTTGCCACCACCTTCTTTTCCCCTCCCCCCCC